TTATTTTTTCGATCAAATATATTGATTTTAATAATTATTATTCAGTTTAATTTTCCTACCTTAAAATTATTATTTGTAAAACTTAAAAGGCCACTCGGTCGTACCACACACATATGATGATGGTTAGAGCTTTAAAAATAAGGACTATTTTCCGTCTTTCATTTATTCATATTAAAACAAGTTAAATTACACCGTTCTCTTTATTTAAATATTCTTTAATTCTAATGACATATTAGCCCGTATGGAAATTTATTTGTTTGTTTTCCTTAAGTTGTGAAGTACATGTATATGCGTACTTAGTTTTTAAATATCTAAACTGTAAAGGGAATTTTATTACGACCTTTATTTTCATTACCATTTAAAAATTAAATTCTATCACTGATATTATAAAATAATTATGCGTTTAACTTGTTAGACCAAAGTGCATTGTCGTAGCCTTCCGAGACACTGCTCCAATAATATGTTGGATGTGTTTAGTACATATTTTACCAAAAAATTTACTTACAAAATCACAATTATTGGAAATTATGGCTCAAATTTTTCAATGAATTTGAAACGAAAGGTCAAAGCAAAAACGAAACAAAGAAACAGTGATACCTGCGCATACTTTTCTCACAAAAATGTCTGCTCCATTTTGCCCAGAAATGAAATTGGAATAAATAGAGTAGGCATTACTGTAACGCTGGTATGCCTAAATTGCCAACATTACAACAACCACCCCCTAAGTGAAAACCAGTGTGACCGTTTTGATCCAAGTGGATCAAAACTGATACATTTTTCGATGAATTTTGGACAGATACCTTTTTTCAATTTTGATACTTTTCCAAATACAAATGAAAAAATCTGTAAATTTTTATGCATTACAAAACATGTCGTGCACCTGTGGCAACGTACATCCAAAAGTTCATTGTCGTTCTCTGAACGAATCTGTCATGTATTGTGATTCATAGTTCATGTCGAAAAACGTCAAAATGTGAACAAACGAACAATATCATAGCGCTGCATTTTTTTATTTTCGCTATGTTCAATAAGAAAAATTAGGTCTTCGTACTCGGCAATTCGGTGCTCGGTAAAGCCATGTTTCC